AGCAAACAAGAGCTTATTTTGAATGCTCATGAAGGGCATTGTGTTCAACACCAAATTAAAACAAAATGCGTGTTAATGAATCTAAGTTTGAATTGCATGTATTCGAATGTGGCTATAGTACTTGCTTAGTAATATATTCTTAAGTGTTGTGTAACATAAGCCGTTGATATCCATTCTCGGCCGGATCATGTAGCTCATTTACGTTACGGACATTCCAAAGTTTCGATGATGACGTAAACTGCCTCACCGCATGTTACGCAGATAGATGCAGCTATCATATCAAAATCGCTGAAAACTGACCATACTATCGCTAAGCTTCAGAACAGAATAGCAAGATGGGTACTCATAATAGAGAAGCAGCACAATTGCGTCGAAATCATGACGTGAGAGAAAATGCACCAATAAAGATCTCACTAACATTCTCCGAGACTCCACAGTAAACTATCTGAGAGCCCATTTCAGCGGCGCTCTCATACGGAGTGCCCACGTCTCCAACTTTATCGGCAAAGCTTCGAGATCAAGAGCCTCTTTGATAACTCCACTGTACTAGGCCCCACAAGCAAAAGGTGTATTGCAATCAATCCGGCCAATTCTCATCTATGCTTCACCTGCCTGGAGTACTGTCAAAAAAACAGATTTCAATAATTTGCAGCCTTACTGAAATGCTACCTTTCTCGGAAGAATCACTGGAGTCATTTGGTTCGTAACGAACGAAATTATTCATAAGACCGAAAAATTGATCCCATAATAGATCCCTTCCATAAGCTGAATCAAAATTTCTTCAAAGCAATAAATAACGAATAGTCTACGCTAAACTGACAATTTCAAATGCGAACTTATTGATACAGACTATAACTCAGGCGTCGCGCAACCGGTATCGTGGTTAGAATTGCTGACTTGCCGTGCCGAAGCATCCGAGTTCCAGTCCCGAAGAAGGCGCAGACGTTTGTAAATATGAAGTGTATGCGGCGAGCCGAAAGTACTCTCGAAAGATTTATGGTAGAGAAGAGGGGTGGGCTACCCTCGGACCCATCCTCCGGAGTGCTCTCCATCAAAATTGGGGGGTGGAACTGGAGATAATTTGAACTGTTACCTCTAAGGTGCTCAAGGCTGTTGCCAACGACAGGCGTAAATTTGCGATCCTTGCCCTGAGGTATTTCATGGGCTTAGGCCAAAGCCAACTAGATATCTAGTTGGTCTTACTTGGACTCACTAAGGCTAGACAAGTAAGCTTTAAGAACAAAACAAAAACTTCAAGCCTTACACTACACAGCTCCTCAGGGATGCTTTTCTCCCTTAATAATTTATTCTCACTAAGACTTGACCTGCATAACAAATTTCACTTCCACAAGACTGAATTTCTTTCAGGAGTTCTGGACTTCAGACATGGTTTCCATCCTGGAACTTCGCTATGGTACTGGTAATACAGCATAAAATTATGTGCCCAAACTAGCAGAAAAACAAGTATCAAAGTATAATACTTGTATGTAATATAAATGAAATGCAAGTGTTCATCATATTTATATTTTGGACTCTAAAATAAAATCGACGACCTAATGCAAAGATTAAATTTATTTTAATAGATTAGTAAGGACTTTACTATAAGATTGAGTTAAAAAATAATAATTTCAGTTTTACAATTTCAATTTTATGAGATGCACACTTCACATGACCTAAAACGACGTCCTTGGTAGCAAATTATAATCATAATAGTGCTTAAAATACACACACCTTCTTTTTGAAACCGACTTTCCAATCCTTAATATTCTAATCCTTTCCTCTCTTCTGCTAGCAGATATGTTAGATACAAATAAAGAACCTTTTAATCTAGTCTTTGGATTGGAAAATCCGAGGAAATTTAGCTCCGAAGTTTTCAGATCTCTTGAAGTACAATGAGCACGAAACAATAAATATTATCCTTTTATTGTATCGAATTATTTCAATTACCTGACTTTCAGTTCATGCAGTGTCTAAAAGTGTAATGTGTACAAAACATAATGTGCATATCGCCGTAATAATGGTGTGTGATGGAGAATATGTCTCAAGATATATTTCAAGGACATCCACTACGTGCGACAATCACGTCTGCAAGTTTTTCTTCTCCTTTAAGAATGTATGATGCTATGAGCTCTTGCCAAGTTAATGCAAGGTATTATCCTTCTATCCACACAGTAAGGAATCTGAAAATATTACATATATACAGTGGATGGACAAAAATATGGAAACACCTCGTGAAATGCATGTTTGAAAAGAAAGATTGATTTTAATGAAATATGTAGGTGGCGCTGGCGTTTTTGACTACTGACGCCACCTACACAACTTCGTAAATGCGCTAAACAGTTCAGTTGTTGTCGGAGTACTGTTATGTGAGGTTGTCATTGCATTATGTCAGAGTTAACAGACTTCGAACATGGGCAAATTGTTGGAGCACGTATGGTAGGTGCTTCCGTAAGCAAGGTAGCCGAGGTGTTTAGTGTTTCAAGAGGTACTGTATCGAAGATTTATTCCGCATATTTGAAAAGCGGAAAAACATCATCTGCTAAATCACAGCGCGGACGAAAGTGTGTCCTGAGTGATCGTGACAGACGATCATTAAGGGCAATTGTGACGAAAAATAAGAAGACCACAGCTGCAAAAGTTACTGCTGAAATGAATGTTGTGTTACCGAACCCTGTGAGTACCAAAACAATTAGAAGGGAGCTTCCTAAACAGGGAATTGCTGGCCGTGCTGCAATTGAGAAGCCACTCATCAGTGATGCTAATGCCCGTAACAGGAAAAGGTGGTGTTAAAGTCATAAAGCCTGGACTATAGAGCAGTGGAAGCGAGTAATATGGTCCGACGAGTCTTTCTTTCACATTGTTTCTCACTTCTGGCCGAGTTTACGTCTGGAGAACGCCATCTCAAGCCTATAAAACAGACTGCTTGTTGCCAAGAGTGAAACATGGCGGGGGTTCTGTTATAGTTTGGGCAGCCATATCGTGGTTCTCTGCTAGCCCCATGATAACTGTGTCAGGGCACATGACTGCCAAGACTTATGTGAACATTTTGGCCGATCAAGTTCATTCCATGGTACAAACTTTGTTTCCCGATGGTGATGGTGTCTTCCAAGACGACAAAGCCCCTCTTCACACAGCTCACATTGTCCAGGACTGGTTTTCTGAGCACGAGGATGAGTTGTCCCATCTCCCCTGGCCACCACACCTGAATATTATCGAACCTTTGTGGTCTACATTGGAACGAAAAGTGCGTTCTCGTTATCTGAACTTGCCACCATTTCGCAGGAAGAATGGTATAACATACAGGAACTGTATTTATCCATTCCGAGAAAACTGCAAGCTGTTTTGGATGCCAACGGGTTTCCTACACCATATTAAGCAAAGAAACATGTTTTTTTAAAGGTGTTTCCATATTTTTGTCCAACCCCTGTATATATATACCAGTAAAAACGATATATCTTTTCGTTCAATAATTATGCGATTTCAAATTTCTGTGGCAACACTTCTAGCCAGCTGAATGAAATAATGAAAAACAAAATCCGTGAATTAATCTTAGGGGTGTTCATGGGCGTAACCAGGATCGGAGCTAGGGGAGTGCAAACAAACTTAGACCGAGAAAACGAAACTATGATATAACACGAATTCCTCAGTGGTAGAGCACATAACATTGCTTAACACCAGTGATTCGAGTTGAAAGCGGATTTATTGGTTGGCTGCATGAGTGTTTTTGTTCTTATGTATTATAAATTGAATTCGAGTGAATTTACTTCAGAAAACTGAGCATTTAATTTACGTTATAATTTTTCTGCTATCTGAATCAAATCGTTCTAAAACTTCTATTTCTATTCTTGCTTCTTGAATAAGCTTTCGATGTACACTTAACATACACAGCCCATTTAAACCATTCTCTGTCATTGCAAAGCGCAACCAAGATTTTACTCGGTGCATGGTACTAAATGACATCTCAATATTACACGTACTATATGGTTGAGACAAAGATATAAGAACAGCATGTTTCGTTTCTGAGAAAAAAATTGTCTCTTCTTTTACCAAATCTTCCATAGTTAACTCCTTCATGTTGTCAATTTCTGGTTTCTTCGTTTTCCAGAAATTATACCAGACTTCTCTCTCACTGTCAAAATTTTCCAAATAATAAAAATTTGGTAAATTCTTCTACTGGCATCTTTAGCAAGCCACAGGATGTAATAACAACAAAGAAAATACTGGTAAACTATTGCTGGAAAATATTTCTTCCAGTGATAGTATTAAGGAATCCAGATAAAAGATAAAAAGAGACCTTTTCCAGAATTCATCGGTAGTTAGAGGCTGAAGGATTTGAGCGATGCTTTTGCAGTTTTACAATTCCCGGTGCTTGTAATTCAGTGCCAATGCTCTTAGCCATAGCACTTATGAAAGACAGAACTTCCTGGCATAAAACATCTGCTGCTCTACGATGTTCTTTTACAAACATTAAAATTCTGTTTATGTGGTCTACACATTGTACCAATATTTAAATTTTTGGACTATTAAAATATTAGCCACAGATTCTAGCACACCCGAATATTTTGCAATTAGCATGCTATAAATTCAGATTTCGTCACTGCATAATGTAACTGGAAAGCAGATCTCATGGTAGATGCATTACCTTCTTTTGATAACTTTTCCAGTCCCTGTACTATGTTTATAAAACGCTCTTTAGAAATACTTATACTTCTGAGACCATCGTGTGTCGCATAAGTTTGGAATACTTCTTCGTAGAACAGATTCACGAAATCTTCTCATCCTTTACAGTAGATGTATTTCTGATTTCCAATATGCAGTTCAAATCGTTCACAACTAAATTTAGCACAATTGAAAAACAACTTTTTTTTAATACTTCTGTTGCAAGATCTTCTGCACGCTACTAATATTACCTTCTATAGTTGAACATGTCATGGTTGATCTAACCCTGTCCAACACGTTTATTTGGATCAAAACCTTCCCTTTTCAGAAAAATGTATAGTTCATGTGCTACAGTACGAGCAATCTATTGAATTTAGTTCAATAAATCCTAGGAATTCTTCCTGGGCAGCCATCCTTTCTTCATCAAAAATTCGAATGCCAATTAATTGTTCCTTCCCAGATATATCACTTGTTTTGTCTGCCATTATGCTGTAAGCAGAATCTTTTCTTGAACCTCGTACTGTAGTGGCTTTCACCACCAATTCACACAAATTGATCAATTCGTTTTGGATTTGAGGTGACTTGTAAGTAGCATTGTTACTACCCTTTTCGAAATGTCTTTGCAAACTTTTATCTCCTGCTTCAATTTTTAGACTAATCAGATCCTGATTATTCCCTTCCTGTTTCGTCTTAGCCCTTAGAGAGAGGTCATGGGTTCCACAAAATGAGATTTTGGAAATTATTGACGCTATTACGTTTTGATTTTCTCCCATTACTTTCTTGTGCTCAGAAACTAGTCTAACATTTACAGGTTCATTTTCTAGAAAATTCTTGGCAGCGATTACACATGCTCTGTGCCACTGATCTGAAAAGTGATTTTTACAAGCTTCATGCATGACATAACGCGTGAATGGCTTAATAATGAAGGAGCTCAAAACACCTTTTATTGATGCAAAAGCAGGAGGGAAAAGAACGCTCTTTTTACACTTTTTGAATATGCGAGCCAAGGAGCGTAAGTCTTTAGCCACTCATGTACAAACTTTTTCCTCAAATGGACAGCATCTTCTACAAAATCATAATTTTCATCAGGTGTCCAACAGCATTTTAACACTTCCATCTTTAGATGTGTGACCATTGGTGACGAACACTCTACCCATCTTCCCAAATCATGGTTGCAACATTCCTCGATGGTGTCACTACCAGTGGGAAACCCTAACTTCATGGTTATAGCTTGGGTGAGTATTGTACATTGCAGCATCTCCACAATGTCCAGGTGTATGGCAATGACTCTTGGCTTAGTTCTTTTAATGGAATCCGTTTCAGCTAACCTTTGCTGCAGGCATACAAAGAGTTTCTGACTGGATGTCTGCCTCATTGGATAACAATCATCAGTCAATTGCCATTACATTACGCAGCCCTGTTTAACAGATGCACATCAGCTAACTTTGCATTCCTATAATCATCTATCCTTTCTATCTCTGCATTTAAATGGACCTTCCCTGCAAGAATATTCTGCCTAACATCATTTACTGCATCAGAAAAGTTTCCTACCCTGCATTGAAATACAATTCCAAGTTACTGAGCGTACCCTACACCTTTTACGTTTGTAACCCCATACAGTGAGACAGCCAAATTGATATAATGGGTAGCAATGGTGGCTGGCATATTGTTGGACACAGGCTTGGATTCTGGAAAAGGTATAGATATTTGCAATGGTAGAGTATTTATGCGTCCCCGGAGCACTTTAATATTGAGGAGTTAAAAGTTCTTTTGACTGGATGGGCTTACCACCCATCCAGAAGAAGGGTGATCCTCAGATACTTCCTGTGGAGTGTTTTCCATCAAAATTGCAGTGCAGCTGTACAGTTAGTGCAATGGGAGTATAACTATGCAACCAAAGGAGAGATTCTGGAGCACATCCACTTGTTTCTGTCCTGGTCCTGAAATACCTTGTATATAAAACAGGCAAATCAACAAACTTGTATATATTTAATATTAGAAAAAGTTGAATCCCAAATGCATTTATCTTCCAAAAAGTACACAATCGTCAATTTGTAGATAATTTTTATTCAAGAATAATTCACTTACTGAAAAGGTATACCCTTAATTTGATAATTTCGTACTTGAAACGAAAAAGGAGTGCGTAATTTTCCAAATGAAGGTTTTGTTAAGGCTGTATTGATTATGAATTCACTTTGTTTTGATTGATTTAAGACCTGAATATAAATATAAAGCTTGACTTTATGTAAGAATCATGTGGTTTTTAAATGTAATTCAGAGTGACTTATCATAAGTAATTACTATTTTTAGGTTGCAAAGGGGGTAATAATCAAATTAAAAAAGAGCTATAGCATATTAAAGTATTTTATCTTACCACTGGTCGCATGCCAAATACTTTTCTATAGAAAGAGATATGCTAACATTGACTATTGGTTTCCATTAAATTATAAGTGCTGTTTTTATCTCTTATAAAGAATATTACTATTTTCAAACATTGTCAATGAAACAGTTTAAATATTAATCTATTTAGTTCTTTATTTATTGAAGTACCTAATCTAAGAGAACTGTTTCTTGTGTTTGTAAGATTTTATCACAGTCAAAATGAGCTAATGAAAAAAGTATGTTTTCTGACTGAGCTGCCTAGGCGGTACAGTGGTTAGGGCAGCCTGACTGTGATACCGAAGGGCCGGGTTCGAATCCCAGAAAAAGTGCGGATGTAAAATTGTCTATCCCTTCATAAAAGGCAATGGTGGCCACCTATCAGGTGCTTTCACAATGAAATGGCCACCAATTCTGGCCTTAGTTGTAGCCAATGCCATTATAGGCAAGTGCCCACCATTGGGGGAAAAAAAAGTTTTCTGACTGAAAATATAAAATTGGCACATATATCTTTCTGTAGAAAATTGTTGGTGCATGTTGTTTCACAATTTAAAATATCCAACATCTCTTACATGATGATACAAATTCAAACTTTAATTTCTGGAACTTTTCATGGATGTTAATAGTTGCCTAATTTTATTTTAAATGTTTTCAAAGCTGAATCAAAATGTTAATACTACACACAGAAATCACTAGATCACTAGCAGACTATATATGTCACTTTGTAGTCACATATTGAATTTTGCTACTGAGCACTTAATAGTGTTGAATGCACATAATAGAAACTTTTATATCAGTTTGTAGCATTTAGAATATTCAAGATTTACGTAAGAAGTAAATATAATTATGCAATTAACAACATCATAATTTTCAAGTTATTTGAAGAATGTCTATAGAGAATTCCTCAGCAATTTGAATTTGCTGCAAGTAAGAGGACAACACTCTAAAAACTTCATATTTAATTCCAACAACTGAAAGATTTTTACCATTCAAATTTCAAAAAGCTAAAAAATATAAGAATGATGGAAAAAAAAAAAAAAAACCAGTCTGATGCATAAGAAACAATTATATACTAAGCAGTTATGATAGACTAACTAACTTAACAACTAGCCCCCCCAATAATAATAATAATAATAATAATAAACAGCCAAATGGTAGGAAAAAGAAATTACAATAACATTATTTCAATATGATTTAATGTCATGTACAGATTTATGCATTTACTTAATAAAGATTAAAATTATTCAAAATGTAACCACATGTTTATTTAAATAAATCACTGATGCATGACTCCTGCAACAAATATTTCTGTTCTAATAAAATAGAAAGTACTGTCCCACATGACAATACTTTCTATTTTATTAGAACATGAAATCAGCAAACTGAAAGCAATAAACACCTTGAACAGGTTTCATTGAAGATGTTTAAAAAAAGTACAGATATTACTTAAAAATGAAAGGGGACCGTTTTCAGTAATGTTCCACATGAAATTTAGTTTATCATTTCTTCTGTTGGACTAGTTCAAGCTTATTGTGTTATCATCAGTCTCAAAACAGAAATTTCAAGGAAAAAGATGTTGATATACACAAACCAATGTTTGCTTTTCGAAAGCCTTTTTAAAGTATAATAAAAGTTCATGGTTTTGATCCAAGATTTAGAAGGCACCGAAAAGTTATGGTTGTCTATATTTTGTGATTTAGCATTATACCAGTATCATAACCATTTTCTTGCTTTCAATCATGCTGAATCTCAGATGTAAGATTTATGTATGCCAATATGTGTTTTATTACTATATTACATTTTGCAACCAGTTCTAAGGTTTTCTAATTCTCCTGAAATTTGTTGGGACATCACATTTTATTATCACTTGTTGCTATTTTTTTTGTTGCCAAATTTAATCTTGTGATCAAACTTACCTAGTACAAATGCAAGTATTTCCTTGCCTGTCAGGGAAAACCAAATAAATGATATAATGTAAAATTTTTATGATTTGATACAAGATGCAAAAAATATATTATTTATATGTAAAGTATCAACATTTCCTAACACTTTTTATAAATATCTATACAATGCAAAGATTGCAAGCTAAACAAAATTAAAATCAATTTTATATATTAAAAATCTCACATGACTGCCTACTATTACAGAAAAAGTCATTTGCAAGAGAAAGAATTTCAGCATGATTTGCACGACTCCTAAAAGTAAGGAAGTTTTTGAATCCTACAGATCTACCACTATTTTGATATGTGAAATGTAACATAGTTAAATACTTATTTAAAAACAAGACTAAAGATGCTTTGCCAGTTTTAATGAAAGTATGGCAATGGAAGTTACAGAAGTATATCAGAATTTATGGTTCACTAAAATCAGATGGTCTTACAGTTACAAGAAAAGATATTAAAGTTTAAAAACAAAGATGATGATTAATAAATAATAAAAAAGTTACAAATTTTTAATTCAATTTCCACACATATTTCTTTTTTTAAACTCACTAACGATTCAAACATTTCTTTTTTGGATCAAGATCTCACAGAATTTAGGTTATAATTTTATCACAGTAAAGGCCCACTGATGATAAAATTCTGGCTTCAGGAGAATACCTGTATAAAAAATGAATCACAGCTATTTGATTCAAATATAACTAATTTTCTCACATTAAAATTGCATAATTTTAAAAATGAATTTTAACTAGGCAAAAATCAAAAAAGGCCCGGAGTCTTACTGAAAACTGAACCAGGGCATTTTGCTTTGAATAGCTAGGTTGTTCTTACTGAAGCCAGCAACTAGGTATTTTCCACTTAAGGATTAGAATAATAACCTTGATTATGTGTCTGTTGACATATGCCCTTAAACTCTACAATTTAAGTCACTGATGGACTTGCACTATTTATATTAAATTTATTATTCACGGCATTACCAGGGAAAAAAAAAAAAAAAAAAAAAAAAAAAGGGGCAGAGCAATAAAATATTTACAATTAAAGATGATTTCTTAATTTTTAGAATGCTGAATGCAGGGAAAGAAGTGGCGCAAACTAATAATCCAAGATTTGTCATTTTTTACAAATATAATTTACACAGGAAAAACTATGTAAAAATTTATTGATTTCATTCTATAATGTAAAAAATATTCATAATTTTAGCTATATTCTAAAGTAGATTTATGAAATAAATGACATACAATAATGAAATACAGAAATTTTTGTAGATGCATGGAAATATATTCATGAAACCATAAAATACAAAATTTATAATTAAAACTTCAATAAAATCTGGAAGAAATATAAGAATGTAAAACTAGATTTGCACTATAAAACACAAAAAGGAAAAATCTGATAAATAACATGATGCCCATTTCAACCACCATAATCCAAAAAATAAATGCACCAGGTGGCAAAAACCAGGAAATAGCATCATCAGACAAATGAACTTGAATGAAAATCATGAATCATTGCACATATACATAAAACCATAACACAGAAAAAGGTTGGTACAACATATCACAATATTTAATGTTATACAGTTCATATGTACAGAAAAGTCAGTAGAAAGCCTATATGGGAACATATGTGTTGCTGGACTTTGTACAACTCGGTAAAAGTATTATCATCATTAACCATACACTGCACAAGTTTTGCAACACATGAAATCAGGTGAATAAGACATTGCTTCATTTCCTTCTCTGAACTAACCAGATGAATCAATGCTTCCGAAGCTGTAAGTATAGAACTGGTACCAATTAAAAAGAAAAACTGATTCACATAGTGAATAGAAAGGTCTTTAAAAATTAAGTTCATAATCCTCAAGATTTATGATTAGAGGTTAGCCATGTAAGTCCTTCATACAGTCCATCACCTGTTGTAGCGCAGGAAGGCTGAACATACCAGTTGCGATCTCGAATACGAGTAAGACCAAGCTTTTCCTGAATTTCATATGGCTTCATTGCTGAAATGAATTGTAGATAATTATATATCATAAAAACAAATATTGCATTATGGAAAAAGGATAAATTTTTTTTCAGAGTTATCATTTTTCTATCAGTTAAGTAATCTAAAATGTATATAAAAATTATGTAATTGTACATTACATAGAACTAATGGAAGCACTAAAAATACAAATTTCTACAATATTGTTACATGCATATGAGTTTGTTATGGATTGAATGAACACAGAACCAATAAATGCTTGATGAACATTTCCTTTTTTAAAAATGCTTCACACTTCTGAAACTTTCCATACAAAACTACTTGTACAGCTCTTCTCAACGTGATAGAGCACAATCAGTAGTTACCCCTTCAAACTTCTAAGAACACTGAACACAAAGCAATGCAAAGTGCATCAACAAAAGCTAGCACAGTGATCCTCTAAGATAAACTGCTGATGCTTTCTCTGGTCTTACACAGTTTTCCCCTGGTCCACCAGAGAAATTTCCAGCAATTTCAATTTCTCAAAATTGCTATAAGGTTATACACAGTTACATAGGGATTAGAACAAAATGTTATCAAGCTTGGTCTTAAAAAAAAAAAAAAAAAAAAAAAAAAAAAAAAAAAAAAAAAACCCACCCACCCACTGCCAGCTTGGTGTTATCTCACCAGTTTGGTGAGACAGCCATTCACTGCAATATTAAACAGTAGCCCTATTTTTTCTGGCGATGCTTTGCATTCTCAAGCTTTTCATACTACTTATAAATGAATTTTTAATAATCTTGCATAAAATTAAATACATACAAGATGCTATATTAAGTTGAGAATCAAGGCATTAAGTATCTTAAGAAATATTACGTTAGTTTTTTTTTATCAGCCATATAAAATATAAATACCAACATAATGTTGTATCCATAAGTTTAACATAAGTAAAAGAAACAAAATAACAGTTTTTTTTTTTTTTTAAAGGTGATCTCAAATACAACATTTCACTTTCTTTTGATAAAATGAAACAAGTTAGTAAAATTAATACCATTCAAAGACAGCAGTTCTTCATTTACATTAAAATTTTTATTAAATTGCAAGTTTTTGTCTCAGTTTAAGAACAATGATAAACTGTAGCAAAAAATATTTTATAATTTTACAAAACATTGGCCTTATTTTTCATATTATTCACATTTTGCAAATTGTAATATTTTTATTAGCAAGTAGTGCAAAAAATTTAAAACCATGCTCTGGTTACCTGGTTTCAAGAATCTGAACAAAAAGTAACAACAAATACTAAACTGATCATAACCAATTTTAACAATTTTTTAAATACTAAAACATAATTTTCTTAAAGGTTAAATACAAGGGTCGTTCAAGGTTGACCAGGACTTATATTTCTTTAGAGGAAAGAGATAGCACAAGAAGCACCAAACTATGTCAGCTTTTCAAAGTATTCTCCGTGCATGTCAAGGCACCCTTGCCATCGTTGTGGCAGCTCCCAGATTCCATTGGCATAGAAAGAACTTGGTTGTTGTCATAGCCATTGGAGGACATTGTTTCGCAGTGCTTCATCTGTCGTGAATTTCTTCCTTCCCATATGGTCTTTAACTCTTTCACAACCAATCCGCCCCACGCGGCTCTACATTGAGACAACCAGAACCTCCCGAAAACGGCCGAGATTGCAATCTTGTTTTCTTCCCTACCCCTAAAAGGTATCCAGTAGCAGGTGCAGCTTCCCCTAACAGGTTTCTTATCTTTTGGTTGCTCGTGACATTTTGTTGTTGATTCATTTTTGGTAGAGTGTACTTTTAAACTTTAACCAAAATGCTCAAATATTGCAAAGTTTCAACTAAAGAAGAAATTGAGGTATTCTTTTTAATGATACAGACGAGTCAGATTTGGAATCAGAACTTTCACCTCATATTTAACTCTATTGCGCATGCATTGTGAACAAATTCCTTTGGAATGAACAATGCAATATCGACTTCAAGCAGTGCCTTGCCATTCTTTTACCTTATGTTTTTTTGACCCTCCTCAGATTTTATAGCTATGAATAATTTTGAGCTGAAAACATAATATGAAATTCAGTTGCTGTAAAGGACAATAAGAACCCACAGTAATGCAAATTTCAGATCTGTCAGATGCTTCCCCTTCATGCTGTTGCAATTTTAACAGACTGCAGTTTATTTCCTAGTAGAATGTTACTACGTAATATTGGTGGGTGTCAGAAAAATGTTCTTTTAAATAATCAATTACGAATCTAATACCTTGTTTTACTTTTATACAACAGCATAGTCTCCGAGATAAATTATTTCTTTAAAAGGACAGCATTCATGAAAAGTTTATGCATCACTGCTCTAGTTTATTTAAAAATGTTTCTGATACTATTTATAGATTAAATAGTACTTTTACATACACTTTTAACTGAAACAAGATTAACATTAAAGATCAATTCACACTTGATTCCAATAATCCCAGCAGTTAACTGATACACAGAATTATGATCCAACTGACCCTGCCTGTGCAAACTCACTTAAACTCTTGACAAATGTCAGCTCCTGATAGCAAACAAATGAGATGGAGATCGCTTACATTCTCATGCTTACATTTATTTCATTCCATATGGTTTTTCCTGATCTTTGAGCTGTGCGCTCTGCACAGCTAAAAAAAAAAAAAAAAAAATCACAAAATGTATTATATAGTATTTAATTATTATAAAATACAATAATGTATTCTGCTACATTAAACCTTATGTAAAAAAACTTATTACATAATATTGAATTATTCAGGGTTAGCACACATTTCTGAAAACAGAAATTAAGTACTTCTAATGAAATAAAAATTAAAGTGAATAAATTAAATGAAAAATATTATCTATGCCTGAACTTCACTTTTGTAATACCATCCTAAAAAGAAATAGATCCGAAAGTAGGATGCATCATTATTAAACATAATTATTAGTTTGAAAGAAGATAAGCGACATTTTATTTACGTTTTAGTAACAATTACAGGGTTGCCACTCAAACAGGAGAATGAGATTCCCTGACTTTTCCAGGTTTTCCAGGTGTGTTTCAAGAAAATTCCAGTCTATCCGCGTAATGTACGTTGGCTGTGCTAAGAGGTAAATTAATTATGGTATTACTTGTATTGTGTAGCAAATTCACTTAATTATTCAATAAATCCCAGAGGACATTTATTCTTAATTATTCTTGGTATACTTTGTTTGATAATTTTGTTTAGTTTTCCACTTAATAAAATTTAAGATATATACATTGGATAACAAATGTATGTTTTATTTAATTATTACTCATGATCATCACCAGTTCAACACGAGGCTAATCCGGTCCTTATAAATCACAACGCAATGCTAAATAGTTAGGTTAGATTTTAGGTAAATTTAATTTGCGTGAGGTATGTTCTTAAAAAGCACCTTAACACTTGAAAACACAAATATAATTATAATAGTTGTTTTTTTCTCCACTGAAGATTGAGATTAGAATCTTCCCAATCTGGAACAAAATAAGGCTTTTTTTTTGCAGACATTCTGCAGCTAAACGGAAGAAAGAAATCTATTTTAATAAATTGAGGTATTTTATATTTATTTCGCAGCATACATAATGAAAAAATATGTGCATTAAATTTCGTGATGGTATGTCGTCATACTGCTATAATTTCTGGATTATGCTAGAGAAAATTTCCTGAAATTTGGAAATGTTATTTACTAATAATAAATAAATTTAGTGGGAAGAAGCAACATTAAATTATATGAATAACATAAAAATAATTACTTAAAAATTGAATTAGAATAATCAACGATATTTTAACGAATATAGTTATATTACATGGCTAGCCTAGATGACTGATTACTATTTTTTTATTTTACTGCAAAATGGCAAGGTATTTATTAAAGAGAAAGAGGAAAAAAAAAAAAAAAAAAAAGGTTTAAAAAGATTTTGCGGTAAAATTCTAGTATACGGTAAGGCTTTGGCACGATTTTGAAAATTGTCACCAAGACCAAAATGACCCGTTTACTGCGCATCATGATGTCGCCAAATCTTATTATTATTCTAACCAAAGAACGTCTATGTAAAGAAGAAAAGGTTCCATACAAGTAATATGCTATTACCCCGCTAGAATGCGGAGGGAAAATTTGCCAAGGGATTTGGCGACGGAACCTGGCGGCCAGAATTTCCCTCTCCGTGATGTGTACAGGAAATTGAGAAACACGTGTTAAGAAGAAACGCTCTTTGACAAAAAGAAAACTACGAAAATCCGTTTTTAAAACTATTGAGAAAAATCCACGCAATAATTTTAAAAACGGATTTTCGTAGTTTTTTTTTTCCCCTGAAAATAACTAATCCATGAATTAATTTACTTGCGCCAAAAAATATTTTCTTTTCCTTTAGAGTTTAACCACTTGCGCTACGTGGTGTTCACATCGCTCACGGTTTGAGACAAAAGCATCTCGACGTGCGTGGCACGTCTTTTTAGCGCAAGTCGTTAAAGAAATTTTAAACGATATTCATTTTATGAACTCTTGATAACGTGACCTTCGAACTTCGACACCGGTTTCGAGCTTTGGCAACAGATATATCAGACATGCACAGCTGTTTCCCTCTATGATGGAACGAAGCCACGTCTGTTGCAGAGAGGTTTTCCTTCTTTACAATACATATTCTTTGATTCTAACCTCCATGGTACCGTATACTAGGATGAAACCCATTTTGTTTATACGAGAACAGGTACTTTCTTTAGTTCATGCACTGCACATGCGATTCTCGAGAATACTGGAAACCAAAAGTTGCGGGAAAGTTGCTTTGCCTTTCTAAAAGACAATCAAATCGGAGCTGCGAAAATTGGCTCTATGCCAGCTACCCGAATGACACTCACGTGATACATAATTCGCCAAAAAAATTTATCTCTTCCGACGTCGGCGCAAAAATCGCTTTTTTTGGCGGGATCGTTGTATGAACTTCCCTGACTTTTCCAGATTTTGACAAAAATACTTAAATTCCCTGATTTTTCCCTGAATAT